ATGTAAAATATTTATTGATTCGACTATTGTACAATAGTCGACAAATATTTAAAGTTAACTTGTTATCGAAAATTTCGAAATAGTAATAAAATAATTGATTTTTTTAAGAAAAAACGATTTATACGTATTTTTTAACACATACGTTTAATATCCGTTTAACTATTTTTGATATCTATTTGGATAATTTGATGTCTCTACGATATAGTTCTCAAAATGAGTTTCTAGAAAATGTAAAACATTTATCAATTCGACTATCGTACAATCGTCGATGAATTTTTAAAGTTAGCTTGTTATCGAAAATTTTGAAATATAGTTTGAAAATGCCTACTTTGACGTCCCATAACATTGGCTACGATTGATTGCTTCACGCACCGTTAACGACGTGCAATACTATGCCACGAGTACTTCAAAACGATAATAAGAATGTAATATTTTGACTTTATTTGATATTCCGTAATGAGTTTGAAAATGAACTCAAAAACATAAGTAAAAAAAAAAAAATTTATTTCTTTCTCTGTGCACGAAGAGCCATGGTCCTCCGTGCACAGAGTCCTTCCTAATTTTTTTATTTTTTTTTCTTTCCTCCGTGCACTGAGGCTTTTGCCCCGTGCACGGAGATATTACTTTTTTTTTTTTTGTAGTTCTACGTTATAATTTTTTTTTCAATTGAAAATTCTCTTTAATTCTTTTTTCTTCAAATTTTTTATTTACAAGTAATATGTTGTAAAAAAATTTATGTCGCATATTATCTTTATCTTTTTATATATATATATATATATATAAGTGATTTTTTTTCTTATATCCTTACTATATATATCTATATCGGAGTGGGGGAGGAATGAAAATTGCGTGTTGCAGTAAATTTGGAGGTAGTGTATAATAAAATAAAATATATATCAAACAAACGGCATCGTTTTTGGCCCCCAATTGAAAAAACAAAAAACAAAAATGTTACAGTAAAGATGGATCAAGACACTGTTGCTTTCTACAGTGCCCTCACGTTCCCCTTTTTATATATAGTCGGAAAAAGAGAGGGATGCTAATACTCCCATCACATTTTACCAATTGCAGAAAAAGTTGTCCCTCTCCAGGTTGCTTGAAATAATGGGCAAAAGCAAATATAGATGCTAATACTTGCAACACATTTTCATTGTCATTTTTATGTTAATTTTATTTGTTTACATCTTAGTCCATCTTTGTCGTTTACAGTTTGTTTATATTTTAATACATTGCACGTATAATATGATAATAGTATTAATGGAAGATTTAGCACAAGGAAATGACAAGATTTAAGGAAGAGGTATCGAGAAATAAGAGGTTCAAGATCCAATGTCAGGTCAAGATCCTTCCGTGTATGATAGAATATGACCAATGCCCCTCTGTGAACTATAAGAAGTATATAATCATGAGTATTTTTCTGGCCGATCTCAATATTACATGTCTCACATACCAACCAAATTTCAATATTACATGTCTTACATACCAAGTCACAAATGTGTTATAAATCATCTTTGAGATTCCACATGTATCATAATAAAAGAGATTTCTGTAATAATCATAAAATCGAACACATAATTACACATATTTTACTAATGTACTTAATTTATAAATACTTTAAAATATTAATATTTTTCCACTCACAGAACTATATACGCCAAAATCAATTCGGTTGGTAAGCTGTCCCGATATCCGTATCACCACCCTGAAATATGATATAATTTTTAAATCAATAATTAATTATTTTAAGTAATTTTAATAATTAAATAAGCTATACTCAAATTTAATCATTTCACGTTTAAGCGATTTCTAAAGTCTCTTTAATCACTAAAATTAGTTTTTCTTTCATTTTACCCAATTTCATAATTTATTATACTTAACTCTTTTAATAAAATTGAATTTAATCTAACAATTTAACAACTATAAAATTAAATATAACTTGACAATAAGTAACATTTTACTTACCTTTCAAAATTGAGGAATTCAAGCCTAATAGTATAAATCATTTAATTTCTAACACGTTGGTGAATTTTCCTCTCTCTCTCTCTCTCTCTTAATTCTTGACATTTTTTTATCAATATTTGTTTGACTTTCCTTTTTAATTAATTAAAGTATTACACATATTACAGCTGAACAATTTCACATTTTGATCACCTTTATGTCTCAATTCAAGATTCAAAAGTCTAATGTACTGTTCAGTCGAATTCTTCTATTATATTCAATTTATCCCTTTCGAGTTCTCATTGAATCTATTTATCAATTCCATATCTCTATACGAATCAAGCATAGTTAAATGGAATTTTGTTCTAAAAAATCAGTTATGACCGCATTAATCAGTATAGGTATCTTTGCACGTTATACCAATTTATCGAATTTTACTATATGGTCTAAATCCTAAACTCACCTCTCGATTCGTAAAAGATTTACAAAATCATCAAATTAGTGATTAAGTAATTCAATGCATAAACTCATAGTAAAATCAACATATGAAAGAATAAAGAACAAGAATGTTAATTAAAAGACATGAAGGATCTCAATTAGGTTACATTATTCACCCTAACACGTATTTTAGCTACTCGTAATGAAAGAAGAAGAACAATATATGACTACTAAATACATCACCGAATTTGTAGTATAGATGAAGAAGAAAAAAAATTAATCTTGTACCAAATACTTCTTCCTCTTCTAGTCAACACTTCAAACGGTGAATTACTTTTTTCCTCTCTTGAATTGCTTCTTTGGTTCTCAAAATTCCTTGCCTCCCAATGTGTGCAAATCCCCTTCAAAAGTGAGGACACTTGTATTTATAGTTGCCTCCTCGTTTGTATCGAAAGTAGGATTTTTATGAACTTTAAAACGGGCTAAAAACACGCTAGACACACCCAGTGTGATTTGGAGGCGCAGCGGGTAGAGAATCTAACTGCACTTCCTTTATTATTATTTTTCATAACGTTCTCTTCCAATATCCGATTGAGGCGATTTAAGTTTGGTCGTAAAGCTAATTCAAAGGGTTACAACTTTGCTTGAAATAGTCCTTTTTTCAATTCAAATGTTTATTAGGTCAAAAATGGGTTTCAATCTTGAGCCGAAAATTCAGAGCGTCTTAGTGTAGTTAAAAATTGATTTGTGAAAATATTTTGATCATAATTTCATTCCTTTTGACTTCTAATTGACACCTAGCATTCTCGAATATTCATCATGATATTTGACACAACTTTTGAGAATTTACAATTTAGTCCCCAAACTTTGGATTTTACCCCCTTTTTGCCAATTTCGCTTCTTCGTGTGGCCCTTGGGCTCCACTATTTCGGCATCGGGGTGCCAGTCGTTCAATCTACATTGTGTTTTGCCTCTTTTGCTCTTTTATCTATATCTCAACAATCCTATAAAATAACACTAATAAACACATTAAAAACGTTCAAAAATCTAGCTCACAATCAAATTAAAATTGGCATAAACTCATGAGTAAAACACATCTGTCACCGAGCTCCCCAAATTAGACATTTGTTGAGCTGAATGAACATTTTTTGGTGTTCTTTTATTTTTCTACTCTGTGATTGTGGTTTATTATCATCGCTTTTATATTTCTATCGTTAAAAAACCCAACACAAAAATGAAGCAAAAAAGATTAGATTTCTTCTAGTTTGAGCTGCGAGTTGTGAAACGTAGCTTTGCCATCCAATTGCTTAACAAAAAGCTTTGGTCAAAATGAAGCCTCCAGCTAGTGCCATTAAGCTGTCGAGGTAGCTGTTGGCACCATTTTAAATCTCTGGTGACCGTAGAGATTGCCATCTCATATGTAGCTTACAGTGACGATCGTTGAGGTAAATCAAAGGACCGCATCATCAACTAATACTCGCGACCTGACCTTCACTGAAGGCACCACAGTGACGGGATAGCTCATTGTATTAACATGAAATTTTGATGGAGATAGTCAGATAGGACAGTGATGGTGCCAAAGATGAGTTGCACGTTTATCTTTTGCAAACTGTTTTATCTGGCAAAAGAAGTAGACGTTTTACCTTTTCTAGCTTCATGTGAATTAATTTGTCCACTAAACTAAAGTTGGAAAAAGGTGTTGGTTAGTTAACCTCAGTGAAATTCGGTTAAATGTTTATACAAAGCTGGCCACTATTATTTTTTCATTGGGCCTCATCACTCCTTCGTTTGACTAAAGCTTTAGTGATGTTCTTCATTGCTCCAATTTGAACATCAAAATCAGCCAGTTGAAGAGAGAGAAATTTGACTACGTTTGGAATTTGTTGATCAAATTTCTATCGCTAATAAATTGGTGCCATCTGTTGAAAACTTCATCAAAGTAAACCACAAAATTATCTGGTAAAATTTGCAAAAATGAGGCAAATGTAAGCAGATCCAGAAGAAATAAAAGCACCGAAGGTTGAAATAGAAGTCCAGTGATGATCAAAACTCAAATACATCCTTCTCAGTCATTTAAACCCTGATTAGGTGAGAATCAAATTTTTATCGCCTACAACGACATTATTCTCTTTACCATCCAGCCTTCCCTATAATTAAATTGTCTGAACCATCAAGCTGATTTTTTTTATTGTTTCATTTTTCTCACAAACCGTCACTTCTTCCTCAGCCCAAGAAATGGACTCGTCAGATTTTATAGACTGGCTTCATGAGTGCACAAAAAGGGTTGCTTGAGTGTCTTGCAAGCCTTACAATCCATCAATTATGTACCGAAGAATCAAACTAGCTCGCTCCAACAGATAATCGATTATGGCATCAATCTTGCTTCCCGTAGAGAGTATAGGGGGAAAGCTAAACACATTATAACTCGTACCACCACTTGAATATCCATTTGGGAACACATCTCAATGTGCGAACACATACTTGGAGGTCCAGTCGTCCAGATAACTACAAGAAGCACCTAGAATAGAGAGAATACAACCCGAGGACGAATTCTTGTATTAAATAACAAATTTCTGGCACGAGGAATCGCACTATGATAAGCAAATTACGGCATGGGTACAAGAGAGGGTAAACAACACATTATAATTAAGGCATCCAAAAGAATCGAGGATAAATATACAATCTGCAATCTTGTCCCCCCTTATTATGTGACAAGATAAAAAAATGGGAGGGCTTGGCAAGGAGGCTATTGGGTCCACATCTATCACAATCCGCGCTTGATAAAACAGGATAAAAATGGGAATTTATGGTCTCCAGAAAAATTGAAATCCAGATGTTGGCATAGCCACAGTCGAACTTGTTTTCGCAATTATCAGTAGAGAGACAAGTCATGCAATTTTGATCCATCTAGGTAGCAGATTCCTTTGCAATCTTCTCTGCCTTGGCAATGACCTCTTCAATTCCTCCAATCATGTAAAATGACTGTTCTGGAAGGTCATCGTATTTTCCATCCAAGACTCCCTGTACATAATGAAAATTGAGCATTGAAACAACACAACTGAAGTCAACATGTTGACCAAAGCAAAAAGTCACAGTAAAGAAAGGAGAATGCGATGGTCGAACATATAACATATAACTCCTTGAAGAAATATAGAACCTCAATCACTAAATTTTGTCGTATCAGATCATATATTACAGCATCAAGTCCAGATTTGTAAATATAGCTTAAAAGACTAATGGGAAGGAAAGAGTCTAGCATGAGTTGTAGAGATCGTAGTTACCTGGAAACTATCAATGCTCTCCTTCAACTCAACGTACTTGCCAGGGGCACCTGTGAAAACCTCTGCAACATGGAAAGGCTGGCTCAAGAATCGTTGAATTTTACGAGCACGCGCAACGGTCAATTTGTCATCTTCACTGAGCTCATCCATTCCAAGAATGGCAATAATATCTTGAAGATTCTTGTAGTTTTGAAGAACTTTCTGAACACCACGGGCTGTATTGTAGTGGTCCTCTCCCAAAATGTGAGGTGAGAGCATACGGGATGTCGAATCAAGTGGATCAACAGCGGGATAGATACCAAGCTCAGAAATCTGATCAAACGAAGAAAACAATCAAATTATATAGGTGGACATAGTTTTTTTTAACAGTAAGTAATTTGAATAAACTCCAGTACCTGTCGTGATAACACAGTAGTGGCATCCAAGTGAGCAAAAGTTGTAGCCGGAGCAGGATCTGTCAAGTCATCAGCAGGAACATAAATGGCTTGGACAGACGTAATAGAACCTTTCTTAGTCGTAGTAATACGTTCTTGAAGGCCCCCAAGATCTGTAGCCAAAGTCGGTTGATAACCTACGGCAGAAGGGATACGCCCAAGCAAAGCTGACACTTCTGAGTTGGCCTGCAAGAAATGTTTGTGCTAGGGATTAGAAAACTAAATCAACATATAAATTGATCAAAAAAGCAACGATGACCATGAAATGCAGGCCTACCTGAGTAAACCGGAAAATGTTATCAATGAAGAGAAGCACATCTTGCCCTTCAGCATCTCGGAAGTGCTCAGCCACAGTCAACCCAGTAAGCCCAACACGAGCACGAGCACCAGGGGGCTCATTCATTTGGCCATATACAAGAGCACATTTGCTATCAGCCTAAAAAAAAGGTAGCAAATTATAAAGTATAAGATCATATAAAGGAAGATGATACAAGGATAAAGGTGAATATAAGTAGATGAAACAACTATGGATGGTTAAAACTTAACAAACCTGCTTTTCACCAAGCTTAATGACACCGCTTTCAATCATTTCCCTGTACAAATCGTTACCCTCCCGAGTGCGTTCACCAACACCAGCAAAGACAGAGAAACCACCTTGAAAAAAACAAGCAACAAAAGATGAGCAGAATTGTGAGTATGACTAGGGCATTTAAAGGCCTGAAAAAATATGGTGACAGCAGCTAACCATGGGCTTTGGCGACATTGTTAATAAGTTCCATAATGAGCACCGTTTTTCCTACACCAGCACCACCAAACAACCCAATCTTTCCTCCCCTTTGATATGGAGCAAGGAGGTCAACAACCTGGGATACCAAGACAAGATGTTAACATCCAAACCAATACATATGTATTTTAATTTTAGAGAAAAAGAACTACATAAAATTCAAATTCCCAGTGAAGGGGAAGCTACTGAGAATATTCAAAGTGAAGGGTAATTACCTTGATTCCAGTAACCAAAATTTGTTGTTCAGTTGCTTGCTCGACAAAAGCAGGAGCTTCACGATGAATTGGCAAATAGTGATCCGTTTCTGTTGCAGCATTCATTTTTCAGTAGTGCCAAAAGCCTTTTCTAGTACTAAATGAGTTGCTAATCAATTAGAATAAACAATTAACTCACTGATATCTCCTTTCTCGTCAATAGGCTCTCCAATGACATTCATGATACGACCAAGTGTTGGTCTACCAACAGGAACCTACCCATCAAAAAATGATAAAAATTAAATCATTGTTGTATCATATCACCACAGCATGCACTTGTCATTTAACATCACCACAACCTGCTCTAAATAGAGCATGCATCATAAAATTCTGCAGAAATCAAAGGCAACATTATGTACAGAAAACTTCTGAAGTAATATCCAGCAATTCCAACTAAAATAGAAATTTATTAATAACAAACAAATCTATTTGAAAGCTCACAAATTCGGAGATTGATTTATGCATTTGTTTAGAATTGATCTTCTCTGAACTTTCAGGAGTTGGACTTGAATGCCTTTTTATTTGACTAGACTCAATCCTTTTTGGCATTTCAGTGACTTGGAATTGACAGATAGCAGATAATACTTCTCTTTTGATCACACTTCTTTTCTTCTTCCAGACTTGTAATTTTTTCTCTTGAACAAGACCTAAGTCCTATTTATAGGAAAATGTTTCCACCTTTTCCTTTGTTATATTTAAAATAGTTTTAAATAAAATCAATTGGTTTCTAACAATTAGTTGAGCTTCATTGGACTTAATTGGTATTTACTTTTCCATGGCCCAAGTCTTGGATATTGAAATTAGAATGTAATCTCGTCTTAGATTTACGTCATATCTCTTGTTAGCAATTTGATTTCAACTGACATTATTGGACGAAAAGAAGTTGAATTCCATTTAACTTAAATAACAGACTCTTCAATTACATTTATGCCCACCCAACTTTGAGTTGAATTTGATTGAACAAAAGTTTGAGAGCATGTTTGGGCACAACTTACTGGAGCTTAAACTCAGAGCATATTTTAGTTGCAACTTATCGGCTATCTTTTAAACCACAAAGTTTGATCCCTCAATTTGCGTGGCTTATAAGATAGCCAATAAACTCCAACCAGATACGCTCAAGTAAGGGTGCCCATACTTTCCGGAGATTATAAGCTACGCAAAATATGTGGACTTTATGCAGCTTAAAAGCTCCACTGCTCCAAACAAGCTCGCACCCAAACATGCTGACCTTTTTTGTGTGTTCGAAGTGTAAAAAGTAAGGAGGAGAAAAGAGTCCATTCAAATCATTTTGAACCTTGTGGATGAAGTATAGGAAGTAAGAAATTTCCATCATTTGACTCCATATTCAACTTTCTTCTATGGAACTCTCTCTCTAACATATGTGTGCGGGTGCAGTTAGTGCGTGTGTTATCAATTTTAGAGTGCAAGCTTTTCCATCAAAGTAAAATTCTAGTCAAAATCATATTGTTAATAAGAGATGCATTATACATTGCAAGTTCAAATTCCTAAATCAGAATCAAGATTTATTATTTAGTTTGGAATAAATGAATCTTGAAGGGCATTTGTAAAATAAAAAGATAATCAGTTAAGCCCATGGTGGGAATTAAAATTAGATTTTTAGTATATTTATGAAATACGTGGTTAAAATTAACTCAGACTCGAAAAGTTATAGGTCACATGAAATGTGCAATTAAAATTAATTTTAGACTTTGACTTAGATTAAAATCTGAATTTTAATTTCCACCAAACAGAGACTAAATAAAACAAAACTCTAATCATAAAAGATAACTAGCTCAATTAAGTCCAATATAGCACAACCAATTGAGTAGCCTAGATAATTTCTAGAGGCCAATGAGCATTATATAATATCATTTTAAATTAACAGCAAAAATGAAATTCAAAAAAATAAAATAAAATACAAATAAAAAGGCAACACTTGCAAAGAATTTATATAAGTAGAACATCAAATCCAGCACTTCAAATTAAAGAAAAGAATTGCAAGTCAAAATCTTCACAAGTCAAGTACTGAAGTCCAAATATCATGCCGTGTAGCCTCTCATATTCAACAGTCAGATTAGTAATAAGAGGAACGTGCATAAAACACAGTTACAAGAAAACTTGATCCACTTCATATTTGAAAATTAAATTTGAACTGTCCATTATTTAATGCATGAAATTTATCTTGACAGGCAACCATTACTGGCACAGGCCAAATTGGATTAGAACTAGGACATTTTATTTATCCTAAACCCAAATGGGTCAATCACATTTTACAAGCATCTAATCTAAAGCAATAAATAAGCCCACCTTAAGTAACATCAGCAAAATTCATAAGCATTGTTTCACATATTCAGGGCTAAAACTCATAAAAATTATGAAAGAAAAGGAATAGACACATAATTCACTGATGTCAAAATATAATGACACTATTTTATTGCTTTTATATTATGGTTTATCATATTTATTTTAACCATATAGAGATAAAGAAATTCATAAACAAAAATAAAAGAAGAAATAAAGGAAAGTTTTTACAAATAGAATGAGGAATAAGGAAGGACACATTTGCAGATAGAAAATAAAATCAACCCCAGCTGCATATTGGCACTTATTGAGTATAGAATAAATCTACTTCTATTTGTTCTGACAAACATAATTGTTTCATCATTACCAATATTATAGAACAAATAACATTCCTTGTTCAGTGGATTATTTCAGAACAAGGGGTCCATAGTATCGTCTTCGTACACTAATAGCGGGTTTGATTGGAAAATGGCCTTTTCCACCCGAATTTCAAAATTTGGAGTGTTTGATTGCCATTTTTTCCCATGAAAAATATTTTCAAACCTTTGAAAATATGCCTAGTTTTCCTTATTTTGAAGAAAATACTTTCTTTGAGGAGATTGGTTTCTGATCTCCTCAAAACAAGGAAAATATTTTCTTTTCCATGCCAATCAAACATACCCGAAATTATTCAGTTTAGGAAAGTTTCATACCTTGCAAGAGTAAGAATAAAACAGTTTATTCTATAATAAAAATTAGATCTATTCCCCAGATCCCAGCCATCAAACTCAAACAATATTCAACAAAATAAAAGAACAGAAATATCGGGGACGAAACTCACGGTGATGGGGGAGCCGGTGTTGAGCACTCTCTGGCCACGAACAAGCCCTTCAGTACCATCCATAGCAATACACCTTACAACATTCTCACCCAAATGCTGTGCGACCTCAAGAACCACCCTGATCTGATTATCCAAAACCTCCAACGCCGTTAAAATAGGCGGCAATCCCTCGTCGAACCTCACATCAACCACGGCACCGATCACCTGGCAAACCTTCCCGATCGCGCCTTTTCCAGTGAACTCATCCGTAATTTTACCACTGGGCTCGTCAGATTTTTTAGGTGGAGGATTAGAGGAGGCGGCGGGTGAGTTGGAATATTGAGCGGCGCGGTGCAGAAAGTGACCGAAGGGGGAAGGGCGAGAAACAGAAGGGGTCCTGGGTTTGGGAGCGGAAAATGGGGATCTGGAGAATGGAGAACGGGATGAGTAGCGGAGAAACGAGGCTAAGAGCCTCCGGGAAGCCATGGCGTAGCTGTGGTTATGGAGAATTTGGTGGAGGAAGAGTGACGGGAGTAGGAAAATAGCGAAAGCTAGGGTTGAAGGAGGGAGAGAGAGACGGTTATTAACATTTTTACTGTGATTATAATAGTCAAAAAAGTTGATAATTTTTAATAATAGGTAATATTTTATTTGTTGTAAATAAGTTGATATTTTTGAATGATCATTCTATAGTCCCAGGAGTGTTTGAGTCACTTTATTTTGATAATAATGTATTTTTGAACAGTATATTAATGAGAAATGTGTGGTTAAAAAAATAAAAAATTTTGATCTACGTGTAATATTATTTTATTGAAAAATATGTGGTTGAAATGATGTCAAATTACTGTTTAAGAATGTATTTTTTTGAAATAATGTGGCTCAAAAACCCCCCCGCCTATTTATTACTCTCTTTGTCCCAATTTTATAGGTTTATTTTATTTTTCACAAGAGTTAAGATATTTTCTATAATATATATATATATATACACTTTGAAAAAGAAGAAATTATAGTTGTTCCATATTTTTAAAAAGTGAGAAATATGTGCATTTGGAATTTCAAGAAATTGACATATTAAATGGGAAAAATTGAATGAGCATATCGGTAAAGGAACAGGACAAAATATTCTAAATTAAAAAATAAACTTATATATTTGGGACAAGAGAAAAAGGAACTCAGCCTATATAATTGGAACGGAGTGATTATTATTATTATTATTATTATTATTATTATTATTATTATTATTATTATTATTATATGACTTGTAGCATTAATTCTTTTATATGGATATCGGACTTTGATTCTCAATAAAATACACAAGTTATCTATTGATTTCTATACTTTCTTCTCTTTTATTCCCTAATTTATGACATGTTATCAATACGAGGTTATAAGTAATTGAGTATGCAAAATTTATTTATCTTATTGCCCACAAATCTTTAGCCTGTTGGGATAGAAAAAAATAATTTTTCCTTCAACCAAAGAAAGTCAATAAATTTTAATCAATTGAGTATACGAAGGAACTCTTATTCTCTAACAAAAATAATAATAATGGTATTCTCTTAACTTTGAATTGAATAACAAAATGTTATAGTTATTTTATCTGATAATAAGTTTTGATTATATCAATTTATGATAGATAAATATTTGCTTGAATGTATTGTTTTTCATACAATATATGAATTCAATATTCCAGAATTATTGTTATTTGATCTTATAATATCGTTTTGATTATACCAATTTATAATAGATAAGCATTTGCTTGAATTTATTGTTTTTCGTGAAATATTTCGGTACAATATTCCGAAAAGAACATTGTATTATTATTCTTGAAGAAAAACTATCTAAATCAATTACCTATAGCATTATTTGTATTTCGGTACGGTATTCCAAAAAGAACATTGTATTATTATTCTTGAAGAAAAACTATCTAAATCAATTACCTATAGCATTATTTGAAAATGAATGTTTTATTTGGATAATTTTGTTGCTTCTGAAGAAGTATAAATTCAAACATACAAATTAAAATAATATTCTATTATTACTCTTGAAAAAAAAACAAAATTTTGTATATCATATTCTTGATGAAAATTTCATGTTGACATGCTTGATGAAACATGACTATTTAAACAATATTATTCCCTTGATTGATCCCCATTCTTTGGAGAAAATGAATTCTTCAACAGTATTTTGACATAACTTCAACCACTCATTTTTCAATAAAATAATATTACACGCAAATTCAAAATCTTTCATTATTTTTTAACCACACATTTCACATCAATACACTATTCAAAAATTCATTTTTCCCATCAAAATGGGGCTCAAACAAGGGCTATAAATAAATGTTGTGTTTATACTCTAAAAGAAGTATAAACCTTATACGTCTTAAGGTTCTAAAAAATATTTTATTGTTGCTTCCTAAAATTAAGTAGATATTCGCTCAATAATGATAAATCAATAAGAATAGGAAGTTGAATAAGTGCATAAAATTTACTTACCAAATACTTCAAACTTAAACTCTTGTTCGCCGCGAGCAGGACTATCTACTAAATATATTTGCAAACAAAACAAACGTTCATAAGTAATGCATATAAAACTAACTCTTTATTCATCCAATGGTTGATTGATATGTGTATGTGCATGCATAGTCAATCCAATAATTATGAGCTTTTTTGTTGTTTATTTTCCAACCCTAAAAAGTCAAAAAATTTCCTTTCCCTCTAGTGGGATGCACATCCCCAAACGTGTTTTTCATTCACATACCCGTGCTATTTATTCTAAGATTGATTTCACAAGACTCATTCTTTTCCCACTCTAATTTGATTGAGTTTCGCCAATGAAAGTTGTTATCTTAATATGTAACGATTCTCCCTAAATTTTAACGTCTCCAAGCTTTAACTAGGATAATAACCTTCACCAAAAATCTAAGGCCCTATTTGACTAACATTTTCAAAAAAAAAAAAAAAAAACATTCTTAAACGGTAATTTGATATTATTTCAACCATGCATTACCCAATAAAATAATATTATACGCAAATTCAAAACTTCTTCTAATTTTTAACCGCATATTTTCCATCAATACACAATTCAAAATGCATTCTTATGGAACTAATGTGGCTCAAACAAGGGCTAAATTTCATACTAAGTATCCAAGGCTTAGTTGGGAAAAAACAATGCTTGTGGTTATTTTACCACTATCTCAACATACTTTGGTGTATTTTTCTTTTCTTTTATTGTGTCCCTTCTTCTATTTTTCATATTTCTCTTTGATTTTTGAAGGTAGTTTTTACTCTTCATTGCACGCAGCCTTCTTCCCCAATTGATTGGATCCTAAACATTGATAATGAATAGGGTCGTATTACTCAAGACTAGCTCACATAAGAATGTAGGTAACTTTTTCATACGTGCCTCGGCTAGTGCAATGCCCTTTTTTTTTTACACAAGTGATTGGAATCAAACCTTTAGTAGATGGTTACTATCTAGCTTTTACTTGTTGGCTATAAAATCTTTCTACCCAAATGTTCAACATGCACAGAATCAACAGATATCTAAATAGATTTCAATAACGAATCAGCCGCACCCAAGCTATTCATTTTAATTGATTAAGTAGTTATGGTAGATAATATGATCTTGGTTCGTTAACTTAAGTCACCATTAGATGAAACTATACTATCAATATAATAATAATTGTCATGACTATTATGTTTAATATGTATGATCTAGCATGAAGAAGTATCAAATTAGAAAAAATGCATCACTTATTCACAATTTATGCATTATAAAATAATTCCAAATAATCATAATCATAGCCGACGAGGCTATCTAACTCAAGTAAAAACATATAAAATAAAATAAAATATAATTATTTTTGTAAAGTTTTCAATATTTTCAAATTTTTTTATGCACATAATCCGAACAAACAAATATAGCAAACTAACTAAACTACACCCCCAAACTTAATTTTTACATTATCCTCAATGTAGAGAAAATTATAATAAAAATATAGAAATTGAATTAAGAGAGGGAAACTACGACTTACCGAATGTTAATAAGATGATGGATATGAAACTTGAATTTGAAGAATCTTTAGTCCGCTTCTCTTTTTCTTTTTTTCTCATCTGAAGCTATCCTACGATTTTGATGCCATATTTTCCTACAATGAAGATCGTAGAATACATTAGTAACCCATAATCAAACACATCAAATTCGTTTGCAAAAAATAGCAAATGAAGGGGGTGGAATGATGGGATGCATGCAGGATACAACAGATGACAGAGACAAAATGCAATGGAAGGGACATAACAAGGGACATAATGGGTAGCAAACGAAGATGCAGGGAAGTGATGCAGGCTCTACCGTGCCCCGTTTTTTATGTTCATATCAACATTATCCCAATTTCAATGCAAGTGAAGATTTTTTTTTTTTCACACAAATATGTTATATGTCAATACAAGAATGCATTGTGCGAAGTTTGCATGAAAATATCATCAATTGATTCATTGAAAAAATTCATTGAACATGGGTTCAAAGAAAATTCCTTTTTGAATTCAATGTTTCCTTGAAGTGTTTGGTCCCAAATTTTGCTGACAGTCATAACCCATCAACTACATCATCTAATTATAATCACAACTCCATCAATTAATCACAAAATGATGCTAAAAAAAGGAATTATCATACACCCCCAAGTTGAATGTAAAAAATGGTTTAAAAAAATGATTTTAAAATCTTTTGCACATGATAAGCTTAATTCAATTCCCAACAACCAATATAATTACTTCCATCACTAGAATTTCGAACAATTCAATGAAAAAAAAATCAAAATCCTCATTTTTAAAAAATATAGGGTTCTAACATCCTACCTTTGATTTCTTTGAATTGAATGAAGTTTGATACATAATTTATGGTATATTGGAGTGCTTGATGCTTACTAGTGATGTATACATTTGATTCTTTAAAGAACTTTGAAAATTTGTAGAGGATGTGTGCGAAAATGAGAAGGAGAAAGAAGAAGTTGTCTTTCTTCCCTTGGGTCGTGTGTCAGACATGACATACATTGCTTTATTGCCTACAACAAGTTGTATACCCGTGGTTGAGCCGCGTTGACATGTTTTTTAGGAAAATTTGGAAAAATGCCTACTATTATTATGCAATCCTATTTTCTATACGTAGTGTAATTACGAAAAATGTACACTTTAGAAAATAGAGTTTCTCCTATTAATTCTTGATGTATAGTCTCAAGCTCGACTTTGGACAATGATTTTTTTATGGTGGCTTGAACCTAGCTATGCTTTCCTTGCACTTTATGCACTTTTCATTTATGCACCCCTTCTTTTCTCTCTAAATTTTGATATTTCATTTTCATCTTTACCAAGAAGTTCATCAAATTTCCTTCGAACTAGAATTTTTTCGTTAATTAGGAAGTTCATCCTCATCAATTCTACAACAATCATTGATGTTGGATGATTGCATAAATAGGATGTAAATATTAAATGTCTTTTGCTTGTCTTCCACTCTCAATGTGAGCTTACATTTCTACATGTTAATTAGTATTCGGCCTATTGGTAAGAATGGTCTGCC